GAAAATCAGAACTGGGTGATTACCTGTGTCATAATAAGCTTGAGCGCATCAGTTCTTCGTCCAACGCGAGTCAAAAGATAAACAGTCTCTGGCACGAACTTAGCACTATTGCAGAGCTCCAAGGCCTCGCTAAGCGGATATTGGTCAGTGAAGCGAAGAAGAGGTAGAAGTTTGTCGCGCTGATAGATAGCATACAGCTCTATCAATCGACTCAGATGCGGCGTTACCAAGTAGGGATATCTAACATAGATCATGTCAAGATACTGAAATAAAGATAAACGAGCAAAATGGATGAACATTTTATTTTCGTAGCTAAGTCAAGTTGATTATATGTTAGGTCTGCTATCAAGAAACAGACAAATGGAATTTTAAATAATAAATACTATGCATTATTGCGTGAATGAAAATATTTATTTGAATAAAAAATAAAAAAGTAGATAATTACACATGTATATATAACTTAAAATGTTTTCAACTTACTTTAAACTGAAGGTAAGGACTTTGGCTCAATTTGGAGACGACTGTAGCAACCTTAAAGTCAAATGGAAATAATATAATTAAATGTCGAGGTGCATTTTAAGTAGGTTTCAATATATTTTTTAAGGCCCTCCGAACGTAAGATATGCCTGTGCATCCGGTCAAATAAGCATCTTGGATCGTATATATGAAGATAAATTGTTTCGAAGGTGCCATGCATAATTTAATTTGACTTTTTATTACGTAGGGTATACTGAACTAAAGAAAATTGCAAATTAGTCCTAAAGGAAAACAAAAGATTGCCTTGAAATTGTGCCTGCCCATCTAAGCTTTAAAGTCTCTTGTGCAGTATCCCCATGTACCGATGAACCCATGCTAAGTTATAGACTGTTTGGCCCTAGCACACCTTAAGAGTAAGAAATCATTCCTCACCAAGCTTCATCATGCAATAAATACTTATCTATCATCCGTTCATTAAGATAAAGATACTAGGCCATACATATGTCAAATGCGAACAGCCACCATTAACGTTTAGTGGAGTTTGTTAAGAATGTGTTCTTGTTCTGATATCCAAAGTATGAAATACAAAGTCTCTAAATTAATAAGGGTAAAATGACAATAAGCCGAGAACTTAGCTCACACTGGCCCTTCACTTATGGCTATGATGAGTCACAATTTAAAACCTCCTTCCTCTCAACTTTTCATATGAACTAAAAAAAGGCCCAATACCGTAAGGTGAATGATACAGGTAAAGTATAGGTATAGAGCTTTGATTAAATGAGATTTATTTGTCAAGGCCGAGATATGTAAAATAAGACAAACACTGTAATTAAGCAGAAAATTCTGTGATATTAAGACAAATTAACTTACGATTTAATAAATCTATTCCTAATAAGCGCGGTTGAAGTCAACGACAAAATTGGTCTAGATTAAATGATTAATATGAAAATATAGAAAAGAAATTCAACAGTAGTGGAAAGTCTGACTTCACGAGGCAGAAATTAATAAATCGTACGTCTTTAATCAAGTTCGCAAACTATTAGTGACGTTGATCGGCCCATTATATGGACTTTCAGAGTTGACATCATAAGACACTTTCTCCGCAGAGGCTACTGAACTAACCAGCTAACATCAGTTAAACAAGCGTAAAGACAATATATAAACATTTTTAAAGTGAGAAAAGCTAGCTTAGAATTTATATGTAAGTTTCACATTGTAACGCAGAATCCAAAAGCATACAGACCTTCAAGCTAGCGAGAAGATCGAGATTAGCACAGAAAAAGGCAGAAAGTGAAATGCAAGGTAAATAAGAGTTGAGGGAGAACAGGGCGTAGGAAAAGAGACGTATACTTACAGGGATATCGTCCAAAATTTCTAGATATAGAAGAAGCGCCTTTGAGGTGTTCAGCTCGTGTAGGTCAAGGACACGGTCACGCAGAACCTGGAGGATACGGCGGTCACGAATAGGAACATGTCGTTCCAGAGTGTCAAAGATACTTGGATCATGTAGACGGATAAGGACATCGAGAGACTTATCTGTGATACCGGCTTGTTCGTAAAGAGTGGCCAGAGCTCGCCAGAGGGTCAATATATCAGTGTTTGCTTGGCCTAAAAATGGTGACGTGGTAGATGATAAAAGAAAATGATTGGATAGGCAATGCACTGAGACTTTGTCTAATGTATTCAAGTATTCAGGTAGAATAAATTCGCGGAGCGAACTGAAGAGAAAGATATTTGGTATCTTACTCGAAAGGGATCCATATCTATCAATGCGATCCGAAAGCACCTGTATAACAGCTTCAATCGAGAATAGACCAGGGGTTGCAGACCATTTGTTAATGAGACGCAAAAATTCTGATGGGGAACTGTCTATAAAGTTGCTCAGTACTAACTCGTAAATGGAAGAATCAAGAAGGCATCTATTTTTTTTAGATGCGGGCAGGAACTCCCCCATAGGCAAGTATTCAACTATCGCCTAGTTGAAAGTAACAAGATAAAAGATGTGTATGAAATGCTGAATAAAAAAATGTGGGCTTCAGTGAAATAATAGACTAAAGCTTTAGGCACGGCTATAAATATTTTTTTATAAAAATAGCGTGATTAGGAGGCATTAGGTATAATATATAAACAGAAAATGAGAAAATAGTTCCTTATAGTTCCTTGTGCTAAGAGTTATCACAGTCCACGAAAAACAATTATTACCTGCAAATGTCCAAGATGAAGGAACTTGTATACTTGTTGTTCCCAGGCTTCTCGATCAACCAGGGCTTCAGCACACAGCTGTGCAGCTTCATCGAATTGCTCAGATTCGAGTAAATGGTCAATGAAGAGAATGCCAACAGACTAAAATCAATATGAATAAAATGTTTGTAACTAGCAGAGTTAATAAGGGAAAACATAGTCAAAATTATCTCAGGGTACTTGAGTAAATAAGAAAATAATGAAAATCTCCTGTTGAAATATTCCCTATAGGTTCGCTGGCAAAGTGATATATAACCGATTAGCCTCGAA